CTAGACCAGAGGCTGAGGTGGAGGACCTGAGCCTGGGCACCCCTGTCCCTGTCAGAGGCCACCAGCCCACCCCAGCTGTTGTTCCCTCTGCCAGGTGAGCACCCCATGCCACGCCAGGCAGGTCCCCTGAAAGGCTAAGGAGGACGGCCTCTGACGATGGGCACACTCGTCACCCAAGGGACATCGCAGACAACCGCAGAAGCAGCTAATTGACCCGGCCGCACTGGCTGAATGCACTGAATGCCTGCCAGCGGGACATACCCACAAAGACGAGGGCCCCCAGGGTCTCGGTTGCGCCCTGGGGTGTCCACCTGCAGGGCAGCGTGAGGACAAGACCAGGCCACCACTCTGGGACCTCGATTTTCTGCTTAAACCACCGTGGGACCACGGCCCCCAGGACCTGCATAGCCTGCGCCCGAGCGGCGCCGCGGCCCCTACCTCTTGGTGACCTCCTCCAGCTCAGCTCTCAGCTTCCCCATCTCGATCTGCAGCCGGGCGCGCTCGCAGGCCGTCTCGTCCAGGACCCTTCGGGCGTCGGCCAGCTCCGACTCGTACAGCGCCTTGATGCCGCTCACCTGCGGTGGGACACAGTGGTGAAGGAGGAGCCCAGCTGCAGCAGCCGGCCGTGGAGATGGCTCCCACAGCTACAGGACCATGGCGCAGATGCAGGGCGCCAGCGCCAGCTCAGCTGGGCGGAACCTCAAGGAAGCAGGCAGCCTGGGTGACCCTGAGATGATCTGTTGTTCCCACCCCAGTGCCAGCTCACAGCCCAGAGCAGCACCCGGGCGACGGGGCCTGTGGCCTGGAGTGCCAACCCCTGCGAAGGGTTTGTGCCCCTGCCGGAGAACAGGCCTCAGCCCAAACCTGCACAGGACACTCAGGCCCTCAGCTTCTGTCACAGTCATACAAGGTACATTTCTCCCATGTCCCCAGCTTCCCAAACCAGAAATTCGGAGGGATGTCTAGTTGGGGGTCTCCCCCTCAACATGGGGGTCCAGGTCATTCTCTGCGGGGGCATCCCAGACACCATGGGGTGCTGAGCAGCAACCCTGGCCTCGCCCGCCCCATGCCAGGAGCTCCCCGGTTCTGACAACCACCAATGTCTCCAGATATGACCCAGAGCCCCACTGCCTCAGCTCAGGATTGCTGCCTTAATAGAATACATTTAATCTTCTCCAGGTGACAACATGCCTTCTGATAGAAAGCACATCACACCTAAGTTCCTGGGCTGTCCCGGGGCAGCCTGTGACTGGGCTCCCTCCCTCATGGCCAGCTCAGTCCCCAGATGTTCACACCAGCGCCATGCTGTCCCCTCGGGGCGGGGGGAAGGCTCTGGCCCCTTGTTCAGGCAGTCCCCGCCTGCCCACAGAGCTGGGTGTGGGGCCACCCTCCAGGGTCAACAGCTGCTCGCGAAGCCCAGGGGACAATTAGCACCAGACCTCCACACTTGTCCCTAATGAGGGGCCCCCTCAGTCGGCCACCTGCCTGCCCTACACGTGCACTTGTCTCTGCTCCGGCCATACACGCCAGCTGGGAGCACAACTCGGATTTCTTGCTGACCTGCTGCCCTCCTCTAATCCTCAAGGGTATGTGCTGGATGCGTTTGAAACGTGAGTACACAGAGCACAGCGGCCTGTCATTTCACACCCGCTGGTGCTCTCACCAGGGATAGCCAGGGACTGTGTGGCCACTATGTGAGATGGCAGGACTGGAATGAGAACAGGGTAAACAAAGCTGGGCGTGGTGGTGCACACCTGTAATCCCAGCACTTGGGAGGCTGAGGCAGGAGGATCATTGCGAGTTAAGAGGCCAGCCTGGGCTACAAAGTGAGCTCAAGGTCAGCCTGAACTACATAGTGAGACCCTGTCTCAAAGACAAAAAAAAAAAAAAAAAAAAAAAAGAGAACAGGGTAAACAGTCATCATCTGACCCAGCACCCCTGCTCCTAAGTGTGAGCTCGGGAGTCCCACAAACACATCCAGAAATACGGGCAAGAACATCCATGGCAGTACTGATCACAAACCCGCTGCCTGACCCCTGAGCCCCTCTCCCAGGCCAAGGGAGCCTGCAGGACACTAGGGAGGGTGGGCGTCCTAACTGGAGGTGTGCGCCCTTTAAGAGACACAGCCTCCCGGTAGGGAGCTCCAAAGGGCATCAAGGTCCCCTCCCCAGCTTCTCCTCCCTCCCTCCAGCCTCAGAGCTGTTGCCCTCATCTGTAAAAAGAGGAGGCCGACTTGTGAGGCTGGGACCACAATAAACCTTTCCTCTTTGTAAGGTTATTTACTCAGCAGAAGCCAGCACGGATGAGACCTCCTGTCCCCACGGAGAGGCCTCTTCTGACCAGGAACCAGCAGTGCATTCCATCACCAGGTCGTGGGATAAACAAAATACCAGTTTTCAATAAAGACAAGATCAGTACTGGGTGCACCAGAACCCAGCCATGACAAGAGGAAAATTAGCAACCCTGAATCTGTACAGGGCATTAAAAAAAGTTTTTTTTGGACACAGGGTCTTCTAGTGCACTGTTCCAGCCCCAAGTGCCGGGATGATGGAGCCCAGCAACTGCGCTCAGCTTACAATTTTGCTCTTTTAGTCACTGTTAGGGTTTGTGTCTAGATGTGTCCCCAAAGCCTCGTGCAGTCCTGGGGGCTTTTCTGAAAACAGTTTGTTAAAGCTAGACCTCTTGTTTTCATGCCCTAGCCTCAGAAAACAGAGTTAAAGTGTTTCCAGCTCAAACCAGCAGGGGGCCAGGGCCCTCACTTTGTAAACATCTTCAGCCCCTGCAAGAGGAGGTAACAGGGTGTGAGCGCTGCACCTGCCCTAGGGCAGGTAGTCTGCATACAATATAAGGCAGGGAAAGAGGCTTGCTCCCTCCTTGTTTGCTCTTGTTGCCTTTTGCTGCCTTCTGCTACCATGAACTGTTCCCACTGTGCCATGCCATCCTGCTTTGGAGCCAGCTGATTATGGACTGAAACTGCCACAAACTGTGAGCTAAATAAACCTTTCCTTCCTTAATTTTGAGTGTGGGGTATTTTGTCTCAGCAACAAGAGAAAAGGAACTAAGACAGTCACCATGGGATTTTTTACGCTAATTTAAAAATTCCAGCTAGCTGTGATAATACACATCTGCAATCCCAGCCACTTGGAAGACTGAGGCAGGAGCATCAAAACTGTGAGGCCCACCAAGGTAATTAACAAGAGCTTGTCTCAAAATAAAATTTTTAAAAGAGCTAAGGGTATAGCCTCATATGCACAAGATCCTGGGTTCGATACCTAGAACCTCCAGAAAGAAAAAGGAAAAGATCTCATTAAGATATTGTGGAGGAAACAAACAAACAAACAAAAAAACCAACAACAGAAGTAAGATATTGTGGAGGGGAGGCACCAAGATTGTGGAGTGGTAGGCAGCACAGAAAGAGCCTCTCTGAGTGTTGCTGCCCGAAAGCTGGAATACAGCAACACGAGGAAATAAGAGGGAGGGAAGTGAGTCCCCTGCACCCAGGAAGGATCTGAGGCACAAACTGAAGCCCACGGAGAGAGTGAAGGGGAAAACTTCAATGAAAAAGGAGGAGGAAGCTGGCAGCACCTTCTCCCTGAGACGGAACTCACTGCACAAAAGAAGCAATTTAAACCTGTGGACACACAGTGACTGCTGTCCACCCTACAGGCCTCCACCGAGAGATGCAGCAGTGGACGGGACTGCACCAGCTGGCGGTGAGTGCTGAGGGCCCCATCGTCCCTCACAAGAGACAGAAACTGTCTGGGAGCCATCTTGGAGAGGGCCTGGCTGAGCTTAGAACTCAGAGCAGCTGCAGGCTCCATCTAGCAGCTCCCAGCTGGGCTCAGGCCCATGGAAGGTGTACTGACGGCGGCAGGCCAAATCAATCTGCTCTTGGCCAGAAGGTGCAGGTTAGCTGGGCTTATCCACTGCCCCACCAAAAAGATACTGTTGGCTTGCTGGGATAGATCAGCACACATCAGGACTCTGTCTCCACACATTATCTACCAGTGACAGCAGAGACAAACCTGGAAGTGGACTTCTCTCTCTCATTTGTTTGTTGTTGTGGTTTTGGTTTTGTTTTTTTTCTCCTTCATTGTTTGATCTTGTTTTCATATGAGTGCAAACATAGTTTCTAGCCTCTTTGCGGTTGTGATTCTGTTCTAATTTTCTGGTCTGTTTTAGATTTTGTTATATAACTGCAAACCTAGTTTATATGATTAAAGGTGGCAAATTAATGGTTACCTCCGTCTGTCATTTTCTAGGCTGTGATGGTTGCTACTATTATTGCTGATGGTACCATTTTAGCCAAAAGTAATATAACTGTTTTTGTTTTTTGTCTCTTTTTGAGACAGAGTCTCCCTATACAGTTCATACTGGCCTTGAGCTCACTTTGTAGCCCAGGCTAGAACAGAACTCACAACAATCCTCCTGCCTCAGCCTCCCAAGTGCTGGGATTACAGGCATGTGCCACCCCGCCTGGTGACATAACTGTTCTACACAGCTATTCTTCCTGGTATTCCAAGAGTGAGACTGACTAAAGGTCATAGAAACTACTGTGGCACAGTGCCAAAGAACTAGGAGCTGGGCCAAACAGGCAATTTCTCATCCCCAACAAGTTGAAGACATAGGACCTTGCAACAGACTCAAAACCTAAAAACCAGTTTCAACTGGAAGATACTTCAGAGAAGTAGTCGTTTCCTAAAGGTTCTAAATACTAACAATAAAGCAACCCACCACAGGCAATTTACAAGCATCACACCAGGAATTAAACTAATAAAAGAAAAGAAAATGAGAAGACACTTAAACAAGAAGCAACCCGACATCCAGTTCACCCAAGGCAAACCCAAGGCGGCAATGAGATGGGACAGTCCAAAAGCCACCCACCTGGCCTCTCTGAAGGCGTAACAACAAAGCAATTAAATAAGGCTCTAGAAAAAAATCAAATCAGAAATAATTTCTCAGATAACTACAGAGATGGTGTCCACAATGAAAACCATGCTTAGTGACTCTAGAGCAGATACAGACAAAAAAACAGAGGTGCTTAAGAAAATGATGGAAGCCATAAATGCTCAGCATAGGAAAGAAATGGAATCCATAAGATAGATTCAAGCAGATATCCAGGAGAATAAAAATTCCACTGAAAGTATCCACAGCAGATTAAGCCAATGTGAGGACAGGATCTCAGATATAGAAGACAGGCTTGTGGTTAGTCATCATGAAAAGAGATTCCCTAGTAGGGAAAAAAAATTGACATACATGTAAGTGAGGCAAGAGAACTCCAATTAGCCATGATCAAAAAAATCTAAGGCCAGGCAGATCATAATCAAGATTCCAAAAAGTCCATGTAAGGCCTATAATCCCAGCACTTGGGAGGCTGAGGCAGGAGGACTGTTGCAAGTTCGAGACCAGCCTGGGCTACAAAGAGCTCAAGGCCAGCCAGAACTGCATAGAGACCCTGTCTCAAAAAGACAAAAAAAACCAAACAAACGAAAAATTCAATGCAAGAAGAGACTCTTACAAGCTGTTGGGAAAAGAGACAAATCACCTATGAAGGAAAGCCCATCACACTCACAGC